TGGAAGGGTAGGGCTTGACTTGGGAACTTTTATTTCTTAAAAAAAAAAAAAAATTCAGTGCTCATCGACGTGTACTGAGATGGTTAAATTTTTAACCACAACAGAACAAGCCACAGAATTAAAATTTAAGCAGCATGGGGAAGGAAGGGATTTCTTTTCTTCAATTGTTGAGTCCCCTGCTGTAACAATGCCTCCTGACTTTGAGAAGGCTGCAGGTTTGTTGTGGGATTCGCACCTGCAAAGAGGGACGGACCTAGGAACTCTTTTTTTATTTGCGCTGCTCTCTCCTTGCTGGGGAAAAGAGCAGCTTAAGAGAAAGGGAGACACGTCCACCTTCCCCTCCCCACCCAGCCTGATGGATGCTGACACCTGTGAAGAAGCTGTTACCAAGTTCAAGAGAAAAATTGCAGCCACAAGGAATTCATTCGCTCCAGGATCCACTCCATTGATGCTTTTCCAGTTGTGAATCTTTGCGGCATATCTGAAGGTGGAGGGAGGGCCTGGAGGAAACAGCAAGGACGAAGGGAAAGCTGGACCCAAATAAAGAGCATCCAGCGGCTGAAGCCGGGGCAAGATGACAAAGAGGTTGCCACGTATCAAGAAGAGAGGGAAATGGACAGGAGGAGCCTGGGGACCAGTTCCTGGACGTTGCTTTGCCTGGGGGGCCTCAAGTGGGAGGGGAAAACCAGCCCTGGATATGCAAACTGGGTTTCCAGAATAAAACAACAGGTCCCTCCCAGCCAGGCTATCTCCTCCCACCACTCCCTTTGCTAGGTAAGAGCAAACTTTATCAGCCTTGCCTTCTGCCACCGCGGAGCCAGCTGGAGGTGAGTACCCTCGTCGCTTCTTCATTTCCAACTCTGTATTGCTTTGGGGCTTGTTTTACTTCTCTTCTATAATTTTTGCTCTGTCTCTCTTTCTTCTTATGCTGTTAACTGCCCACAGTTTTAGCCCATTTTCGATTCACACAGCAATCAACCTCATGTGACAGACAGCTGCCCCACAGGGTTTTCTTGTCTGTAATCTTTACCCTTCAGGCAGTTCCACTCTATCCTACGAGAGTCTGAGTCCACGGCTCATAGTGAGAGCAATCTTTACCAGTGCAGGCTGCTAGGTCTTTTCTGCTGAACAGAATTTGTTTCCGATTGTGGGACTGAATAGGAGAAAGAAAGGTCGTTCCCAAAGCCAGGGTGTCTTCAAGAACCTAAATCCAAGCGTCTTCACTCATGATTTTGGAAGCTGCACTTAGCTCCACGTGGAAAAGGTTCTGTAGCAAGCTGTCCACTTGCGCCGAGTTAGTCAACCCTGGGGAGGAGTGAGCAGCTCTGAGTTAGTCAACACTAGTTGTGTTCTTAAAATTAGTAAAGCCGGAGGCACATCTATGGCGCTCAATGGAAGAAAGCAGAGTGGCTCTTTCTAACAAAAGTTGTAAGGACTTTTGATCATGTCGTGCTGAGAGGAGTAAGCAGAGAACACTCGTCAAGAGAACAGCATTATTATTGTCTTCTGTCATCATGTCAACCCTGACTCGTAGCAACTCCACGTGGTACACAGCAGAACTGCTCCATCGGTTTTTCTTGGGTTGCTATGAATTGAAATCCACTCAAGAATAAAAAGGAACTCTGGTGGTAAGAAGCTGTGCTGCAATCCCAAAGGCACACAGTTCAAATCCACAAGTGACTCGATGGGGGATAGATGGGCCATCTCCTTCCGTGGGGTGAATTGCCTCTGAACCCACTGGACGGTCAGCTTCATGAGGTGGTTACACCTTGACAGTACACAACAACAATAGGGAGGAGTAATGTTTAAGGAAACAGCGCCAGGACTGAAGGTGGATTCTAATCCACCCCGTGCTCTATGGGGGAAGAACAGGCAAGCTCATTCTATGCAGTTTACAACCTCTGAAAACCCATGGGAGAGTCAGCTATGAGTCAGTTCTGAAGCCACAGCAATAAGTGTCTTTTTAAAAAGGTACAACAACATAGAAACAAGAGACCTGTACATTTGACCTTTTTTTATGATTCTGAGTTTTGTTCCACTTTTTGCTCCCACTCTGTCAGGGACCTTCTTTTATGGTCGTTTTTAGAGTAGTCAGCTGGGAGAGTGGGCACCATCTAATTCTTCTGGTTTTATAGGAACCATCAACATCTTGGTTACTATTTGGGCTCAGACTTTTAGCCACCTTGGGATATTGAGGTACTAGTCTTTCACTGTGGAAGCCTTGGATTTGCACCTTCATTGTAGCTGTACCTTCTTGCAGGTGAAATTCAGACCTCAAGACTTGTAGGACAGAAAATGGACTCTGAGGACAGAAGTGCTTTGATAAAAACAAACAAACAAACAAAAAACCAGAAATGCATGACAGTCTCTTATTTCTAATTACAGATTTAAAGAACACCAAGTTCTTCCTGCCACTTAAAATCAAAAGCCACCTAAAATACAGATTCTTGTAAGTACCAATCAACATCAGTACTGCAAGCTTCTTTATTATAAAGTGTGAATGTTTGAATACGTTTTTATTTATACTCGAAGCACTGTCTTGTTCTTTTTTAAAGTGATATGCGAGCCAGAGGAAAATTAAATACTTTCAACTGTACAAATTTCTAATAGGTGCTGACAATAGAATGGGCTTTGCTTTGTGTAAGAGAATAAATAGGGAACACTGGTTGAATTGAATCCTGGTATTGACTTGTATTAAAATGATTAGCACTTTGGTGCTCTGTGCTACGAGAAAGGCTTTCAGAGTCCGGCTGAGAGCTCCAGGGCAGCTCCCAGGCTGCATTTGGAACAAATCTGCAGCACCCTGAGGCCTGTAGTGGGCATGGCAGTGGTACAGGAGAGGGAGGCTCACTCAAGGCAGAGGGACACATTCACTTGTCATAGGAGTCAATGCCTTCAGTAAGGGCACAGGGTACAACTAGGCAACACAAAGCTATTCTTTGATGTTTAACTTTCATCCCAAGGGTATTTCAAGGCAGCCATGACTACAAGTGGTGCTTCTATCTGTCTGAGCCCTAGTGCCCCCTGCAGACCCTGACATGCACAGCTCTTCCCTCAACAGCTGTTAAATTGTATAGTCTCTTAGATTCTACTCCACTATTCTGTATTAGTCTATATTCTGTTAAAATAATCTGTAGTGGTAATAAGCTATGCTGCAGATGCAAAGGCGTATGGTTCAAGGCCACCAGCTGCTCTGCGGAGGATAGGTAATCTCCTCCCGTGTGATTAACTGCCTCTGAAAAGCCACTGGAGGGAGGGTCAGCTATGGGTCAGTTCTGACTCTACAGTATACAATAACCACAACAACATCCACCATTAGACTGTTAGCCTGCTGCTGTGCCTGGTTCCACAGTGGAAGACAAGAAACACCTTCCAAAAGACACTTCCTGCACAGAGAGCTGTCTCTCTCTGCCACTTGCTGAACTAACTTGGTTCCCACTCTGACCATCAGTTTTCTCTTCTGTACAAGGAGGGTTTGGGATTGGCAACCCTTAACATCCCTCCCAGTGCTCACAGTTTCCAGGGATTTGGTTTTTCCTTTGTTCTTGTTCGTTTTACTCCGGGCTCTGAGGAAATGATGGTGTGGTTCTCTGAGATGTGTGTGATTTGGGCAGAAGGTGTGGGCATGTCATTTGTACTGAATGACTGACAGCCTCTCTTGTCTCTTTCTTGCCTTTTGCTTTTCTTTTTATTAATTTTAATGAAAGTTTACAGAGACTTTGGATTTCCAGTCATTCTTTGTTGCACTTTTCTCCCTGCCCAACCTCCCCCACCAGTTCACTCTTCTCTTTGAAAAGTAAAAGAAAAATTCTTTCATTGTTATGCAATCCCTCCTCCCAAGTCCACTCCAAAGGACTTCTGCTTCTTTTTTTTTTCTTTTTAACATTGTTCTTCATCAAACAAAATTAAACCTAATCCATCCCCAGGTACCAGAATGTTACCTAACTAAACAGATCACTTACAGTTCACACATATACACAGGAAAAAGAACTCTTCCATCCAAGTACCTACCAGCCTTAACTTCAGATAAGATTGGGAACTTTGCAAAACAAAAAGATCTTCCATACTTGTGAATATTTCTGGGTATGCTTGAGTTTCAGACTAAGTCTGTAGAATAGAATAAAAATGAAATAAAGGAACTAATAAAACCATAGCCTCAATTCTGATGCATAACATCCCATGGACAACTTTCCCAGAGGGTATCTTAGGCGCTAAATCTTCATGGGAACAGATTGTGGTTCAAACTGTTGACCTTTGGTTAGAAGCCCAACGCTAATCCACAATGCTACCATACCCCTGAAATAAACAGAAAGGGGTGGAAGGATAAAATAAATACCACACACAGAACTTTCTCTAGCATTTCTGAAGGAAAAAAGATATCCATAGATGTAATGAAGGTTTTTATAAAAAAACAAAAACAAACAAACAAACAAAAAACTTTAAAAAAGCTGCCAGACTTGTTGAATTCAATAAAGGATTAACAAGTTAATTTTCAATTTTTAAGAATTTAGCTTCAAGTAAAAGGGAAGCGGGATATCATTTAGCAGAGGACCTAAATGAAACGTTTGCTGTCCATAAAGTATGGTTGGTGTCATCTTACAGAAAACAGATCCATGCCCTTTTTCCCTGGCCTCATATTTCATGATGAAGAAGTCTGGGGCAGCTTGTTGTGTTGATGCTTATCCCCAGGCTGGAATGCTAACAGTTTGCCCTGAGTGTTTGCGGGTAGACTTCAGATCTACCAGCCTCTTGCCCATGGAACACTGCGGCAGAACAAAATCAGTTGTCTCTCCATCTGCCAGCGAGCGCTTTGTTGGTGGAGAGGCCACGTTGTCTCTTAGAAGCCTCCATCTGGGGCCACGATGCCCCAGGAACCCGTGCAGCACCCTCTAGCCGCCTTCGTCTTGCATGTCCATCATGCACTCATCCCCATCAGGGTGCATGTCCCGCTGATTCACATATTTTTGCCCTTCGTCACATTTGGAGAGAGAGGAAGGATGATGAATGGACGGTCTTTGGTTGCCGGTGCTGATGATGCCCCGCCTGGTCCTCTTTGGAGGGACCCTTTCGGAAATAAAGCTGGTGAGGCAGCGCGCCGAGGCTTCAGCCAGCTAAGATTGGCCCTTGTCCGCAGGCTGGACAAACAGGTATGATGCTCCCATGCAGCTTCTAGCACTGGGGACCTCTGAGCTGATGTGTCTTTTCTGAACAAGCCTGGGGAGCAGGGTTCTGCATGCTCTGAAGGGCAGCATGGCTGTGGTTGAGCCCAAGGGCAAGGGTCTTGGTCTGCATGGTCCTATGCCATCCTTCTTGAGGACTGAGGCTAGATTGTTGAGTGTTGGGGCTTTAACATGTAAGGAGAAGTTAAGGAGGATAGCCTAGCATTGAAGGAAGCCTGCTGGCCTTGAGTTACTTTTGGGACTAACTGAAAGATCTGTGCTTTGCATCTGTCAGCTGCTCCCTGAGACTCCTGAAAGACTTAAAGCCTTGGAACACCCAGTGGAGGGTCGCTGTGAGTCTGAATTGACTCCATGGCAATGGTTTCTAATGTCCTACCTTCTTTCTTTTGCTTTATCTGCCCATCTTTGTTGAGATTAAGTGGTACTGAAATGTTTTTATTGGTGGAAGGTCCTTGCTCAATACCTTATCATTGCTTTTGAAATTAGGATGTGTACATTCTGAAGGTTCCTAGAAAAATTTAAATGTTCTGGCAGGAGAAAATTCCAGGGCAGAGCACAACCTAAAGGTACTCATTTCTTGTATCTATTTCTCATAACTAAATTCTCACAATGAAGTTCAGGTGCCACAGTCCAAAGCAAGCTGAAGAGCTGTTGGAAAGTCGGCAGCCTCCCTGGTGGGTCAAACCCACCAGCAGCTCTGTGGGAGAAAGATGGGCAATCTCCTGTGAAATTTACAGCCTCCTGAAAACCCACTGGAAGGATGGTCAGCTATGAATCAGTACCAATTCAGTGGCTATGAGGATTTTTTTTAAAAGATGAATTAGCTGGCCAGGGCTCCAAAGAGCTCCAAGATTTTGGTTGTCCAGATAAATGGGCCCTGGGTGGTGCAGATGGCTAATCATTGGCTACTAGCTGAAAGGTTTGGTTGTTCACACTCACCTAGAAGTGCTTCAGAAAAAAAATTTCTAGACCACAGCCATGAAGACCTTAGGGGTCACCAAGAGCCAATTGATTTGATGGGAGGAGGGTTCTGGGATTCTGGGACAGGAGGCACTGTTTAGTAGAGTCTTAAAGACTTGCTCCGCTCATGAGAAGAGCCCTTATTATAGGGTGTCGTTGACCTTCAACCCACCCCGAGATGTGGATATTGGGGACATCAACTGTATTATGCCTCCTCTTTGACAGGCTCTGGGTCAAACAGAAGTGGTTTCATCTTGACTTAACTCTCGGTAGAGCAGCTAGAGTCTCAGGCCTTTCAGGTTCTCAGTCATGTCTGGCCAGTTAAATTAATGGGTTTCAGGTCTGTATCTCCAAAATCTCTGCGGTGAAAGAGTGTTTCAAGCCCTCTAAATAAATACATGCAGGAAGTACTGAGGGCATGAATGTGTTTATTTTAGCAGAGCCAGCTACCTCCTTGTCCCTGTGATTAGTGGGAAAAGCCACACTGACTTGTTCATTGTCATGCTGTCTCTTTCCAAACCCGCTGCCATTGAATTGATTCTTGTTTATAGATACTCTATAGATAGAATACAATTGATCCTGTAGGGTTCCCACCTTATAACTTTGACAGAAGCCGATTACCTCGTCTTTCTCCTGTAGAGCAATTGAAACACCAACCTCTTAATTAACAGCCAGGTTCTTTAACAACTGCAGCAACAAGGATCTTTAGACATTGTTCCATCCACCTAGAGAAACTCTTTGACCTGTCATTGTCTAGACTGATGCTTCTTCTTTTTAAATTTTTTTGTTATTATTTTCCGTGTGTATACTCTCAAATCAGATCTGACTGGTCCAGGAGGAGATTGCCCCTCTTTCTCCAGCAGAGCATCTGGTGGATTTGAACCACTGCATACCTCTGGGATTGCAGTGCAGCTTCTTGCCACTAGGCCACCAGAGGACCTTATGCCTGAAATTTCTTACCAGTTGGTTTGATTTTGAAAATAGGTCACTGAAGAGAAGGAAGGGGCTTGTGATGTTGTTGTTGTGATGTGCTGTCAAGTCAGAACCCACTCACACAGAACCTCTAGCAGACTTTCAGAAGCTGTATATTATATGGGAGGAGATTGTCTATTTTTTCCCTAAGGAGTAACTGGTGAATTAAAACCATTTAGTTTTGGGTTAACAGCACAACTCCTCACCCAGTAGACCACCAGAGCTACCTGTAGAGGGGGCTTAGCAAGTAATCTTTTCAATTATGAAATTTAGAGCAAGAACTACTTGAAAATAAATGATAGCTATCTTTTAGCCAGATTATCAAGTAAAAGACAATCTTTTTTT